TGTGTGTGTGTGTGTGAAAGACACCGTTTTCGTATGACAACCCAGTGACAAGGATGCCTGCAGTACCAGCACAACGTTATGACGTCACACGCGCCATTGAGTTTACATTTGTGAATATTTACAAATTTGCACTGTTCGAGTGTTGTCATTGTGTTAGAGAGAGTAAATGTCATGAATAAATTTGACATTAAACAAAATCCAAGTTGAAGTGTTACATCATTTTCAGCCCCTTTTTGGCATCGGCATTTGGTAGCAGACCAAATTAAACTAAGACCATGCAGAATAATGTATTTTAATCCCACAGCAGTGAAAGTTATGTAGTCTCTGTAATTAGGTCTAGGGGGAAAATATTGGTATTGGCATCGATTATTGGCCAAATAAGTTTTGACATATTGGCGTATCTGATATCGGCCAAAAATACAATATCATGCATCCCTAATATTAAGGCCAAAGAAACCCAAGCCAACCCTAACTATAGGATTTATCAAAAAGGAAAGACTTAAGACTAATCTTAAAAGTAGACAACGTGTTAGCTTCACAGACAGAAACTGGAAGTTGGTCCCACAAGAGAGGAACCTGATAACTGAAAGCTCTGTCTCAGAAACTCTAGGAACCTCAAGTAAACCTGTAGTTTGAAAGTGAAGTTCCTTGTTTTTTGATTTGACTAAAAGTTTTTGCACATTGCCTCTTTGTTTGAGGCTTTTTTATTCTGCGCTTTTTGTTCGCCTGTCCAGTTGGATGTCAGAGAGTGAGAGGCACAGGTGTGTGGTAACCATGGTGACCTCACCTGCAACAGCTCTTTGATCCTGGTTTTACCCTTCATTACGTTTATGTAGATGAAAAACTAAGAATCATTTTTTAAAAGTCCCAACTTGGGCTTTGTTGAAGAAAGTTGATTTATGCTAGGATGTTGGGTGGTAGTTTATTAGCTTATTTATCTTATTTTATTGTCATTAGGTTTGGATTTGAAAATGCTTTCCAGTACTGTTACATAAGAGCAGTTACTGGAACAGATGTTGGATTTGTGTGATTCAAATGAAGTCTTTGTGTGTGTGGAGGGACCCAAAGGCAGGAGAGATGGCCGACTGGGATCCAAAATGAAAACATTATCCAAGATGCGCCTCCAAGTTTTAAGGGGAGGCGGTTCGGCGTGTTGAGAGACAGATGAGCTATTTCATAAGTGGCTCTCGTGAGAGAGAGCCGCAAGAATGCTTGGCGGGGTGTGTTTTATTAGAAAAATGGACGAGTGTGTCCCTCGATGAGAGACGGAGAATAGTGAAGAAGGAGGAGGATGCTTCTTTATTTTTATGGCTAGAAATGCGTCCGAACGCAGCGTGAGTGACGGTGGAAGTTTTTCCTGGTGAGCAGAATTATTTTTTTGGGTGTGTTTCTCTCCTGTAATGTCAAATTAAAAGTCCATTTGCAATGGGGGGTCAATGAAAAGCTCACTTGACTTTAGAGGAAGCAAGTGGGAGGAGGAGGAATTTGCACTCCTTTCCAAAAATAAGTTTTACCCTTTCCTACGGATTTGTGTTACCACTACTGGAAAGGGGGAGGAGGTGAGCGGTTTGCACGGTGAAGAGAGGGATTTGGGCTGGAGAGGAGGGAGAAGAACGACTCAGAGGGAGAAGTATGGTTGTGATTAACACTCATTCAGTGTTTGACTCGACCGTTTTGCTGTGTGGTCCGCAGAGAGGGAGAGGACATGTGGATGGGAAGCTAGCAAGAAATGCATGAAAACAGCTTACAGCCAAACACGAAAACGGGTGGTGGTGGCGGTGAGGGGGGAGTTTTGGAAAGAACAGGAACTACGGCAGCGGGGAAGGGTGGGAGGAGAAGCGGTTGTGGGAGTAGCTGAGAACAGAAGGCGCAAAGACACTGGGGAGAGGAGGGGAGAAGACTGGATCAAGTGTTTGAATCAGCTAGGAGCGGACTGATATATTGATTCAGGGGGGAGGCGGGGGGAGGATTACAGCAGGTTTAAAGAGTGTCGGTTGTTTTCTTTGCAGATTGTGACAGAAAACTCGCTGAGGTTGTTTCTGGGGAAGGGGGGGGGGGGGGGGGGACTCTGAGTTAGACTTCCAGTAAGTGCCAACATTCTGGGAATTTGCTCCGTTGATTGGCCCCTGAGCTTTCTGTACGATGAGATCATCTCTGTGGACACAGACTTTAGCACCTCTCTGCAGCTGCCTGCAGGAAGGGGACTTTCCCCTCAATTCCTGCACTGCTGTTGTTCAACGTCTGAGCTCACCAAAATGACTAATCCCTGGCCTCTCTGTTTCTCTCTTTTCCTCCCCTTCTCTTTCTGCCTCAGATTCACGCAGCTCAAGCCTGACGGACCTTTTCCTCGCTGGATGTAAGAAGACCTCAGCTGCTCTTGGATGGTGAAAGGATCTATTTTTGTAACCTTTCTGATACATTCCTTCAGTCTTCTCTTCACCTTTTACCACGCCCGCCCAGGTGTTTGAATAGTGGGAACTCCAGAGCACCTTACTCCTCCCCCCGACTTCTCTGATGGACCAGAGAGTGAAGGGGGGGACCCCTCCAACCACCGCCTCCGCTTTGGATGCCAATTCAGCACCTGAGGACGCCAAGCAGGACCAAGTGGCTGAGAGAAAAAGGAGAAGCGAAGATGAAGGGAAGAAAGAGGAGGAGAAAAGAGGATGTAAGAGGGAAGGAGACAAGGGAGCAGTGCTGGAGGTGCTCATCGAGGGACGCTGTGGAGGCGTGGGGCAGCAGGAGCTGCAGATCTCTGGCAGGGAGACGAACTGCCCCGAGGGGAACGTGCGAGTCCGGATTGGGCTCCAAGCCAAGCGCACCAAAAAGCCCCCAAAAATTTTGGAGAGCTACGTGTGCAAGCCCACCATCAGGACCTACCAGAGACATGGTAGGGGGGGACTGCTGCGGGCAGATGGAGAAGGAAAACCCATCCAGCAGAGTAAAGGCAGCTCAACCACAAATGAGGCGAACAGAGAACATTGCGTGGGCTTGGATGCTACCCAGGCCACATCCAAAAAGACTGTATCTGCTGCTTCACAACCTCTGACATCGTCATCTTCATCACCACAACCTTTGTCATTATCCTCATCAAAGTCTACCCCAGCCTCAGTCCCTGCAACAACCAGCCAGGGGACCAAGACTACCAAGCAGGTAGGTTAAATGTACTGGAAACACATAAAGTTCCCCTTCAGCCAGCTGCCAGCAGTAAATCTGGCACTGAGCGGCGTTAGCTTGAAATGGAGGAGACAAATGAAGGTTTTTATTTATTATTAATTAAACACATTTACTGCTGCTCTTGTTCTGATTTTTACAGTTAACCCCCAGCCTCAGAGATGCTTCAAAATGGTGCAAAGTCACCCAGCTCTGTCATGAAACAGGCTATTGTCTCGGCACTGAAACCTAAGCAGCACATTCGAATTAACAGGACTAAAAATAGGACAACAGCACGGCAACCACTTGGAGTTATTACAAACACTGGACCATCGGTTCTTATGATAATCACCCAAGGGGGAGCTTATAGCTTTAGATGCTCAAACGCCACTCAAGCAGATGCATAACAAAATTACAAAACAAGTATGAAATGTCAAGCCGTCTCTTCAGTATTAGTGGCAATTTATAGCTACCAATAACAACATTCTCTGTCTCTCGTTCAGTTGCTGCTTGGCTCTCTAGATCTATTCCTCTATTCTATTTTTACTCTTTTCTCTGGTTGCTCTCATTTATCTTTCACTCCCTCCTTCTGTCCTGGTCCCACTTCGTTTCTCTGCCTTTGCATTTCTCCTTTTTTGACCCCATTCCTGTTTTCATCACCTAGCTCTCTCCTTTTCTGCAGTTTGCCCTCATTTCTACATCTTGCTCGAGTCATTTTGTCCTCCCGCTCTCTTTAAATAGACGGGCAATAACACAATATTTTTCAGCCACTGTCTCGTTTCGAGTGTCCTTTACTTCTGTCTGCAGCAGCCGGATGGATGTCAAAGCCATATTTCTGTCTGTGTTTGAATTCCCCAGGTTCCCATCAAGCTGGCCGATAAGGCAGAAGAGAATTCAAATAGCTCATCGGAGAGAGTGAAAAAAGACAAGCTTCCAAGTATCAATGGTCAGCCTATCCCTGCAGGACCTAAACCCTGCTCACCCCTAACAGACCAGACAGCTTCAACCGCTCGATTCGCCACAAGCAACCCAAAAGTCTCCACGTTGGACACCAGGAATGAAGGGAGCAGCTCCAAAAAACACAATGGTTTGGTTCAGACATCAAAACAGAAGGGATTATCAGATGGGAGAAGTTCTGCAAATATCCTTGGCACTTCTTCGAAAAGCAAAGCTGGAAAACACGTCATTCTTTCTTCTGCTTCTTCCACGGACTCTTCAGCAAGGCCTCCAGTCTCCTCAGGCTCACATAAAGAACTGTCGGGTAAGAGTAGGCCGGACTCGCCATCTTGTCGTCCAGTCTCCCCTAAATCCCAGTTTTCTCCTGATGTGGATCTCTCTTCTACTCAATCCAAAGATCAGGATCCCTCGCAACAGCCCCCAGTAGTAAAAAAGAGAGAAAAAGAAAAGAAAGCTAAGAAAGAGAAGCGGAAAGATAAGAAATCAAAGCAAGATAAGCTGGAAGCTGGGAGAAAGAAGACTGAGAAACTGAAGGATGACATAACAAAAAAGAAGAAAGAGAAGGGGAAGGATGGAAAATCAAGAAACAATAAAGAAAAGGCTCAGAAACAAAGAACTGATGATTCGTGGGAGGATGAGCTAAAGACGGAGAGAGGAAAGGTTGAAAAAAGGGAAAAGCTCAGTCCAGATGGACAAAGGACAGTGGATACTGTAAAATGTGGTGAAGCAACTTGTAAACAAGATAAAACCTGTAAAGTAGTGACAGAGAAGGAAAAGACAGAGGACAAGCTAGATGAACAAGCCGAGCCTTCAACAACAGGTGATCCCAGTAAATCAAAGGAACAAGACGTCTCGAGATGTTCAGCTGTGCCTCCAGCCCACTCCACTTCGTCCGCTCCTCCCCCCCTGCTTTCGCCTTCTGCCCATGCCCCCATTTCTCCCCCTTCTTCACCCCAAGAGCAGGACAGCCGACCACTCAAGAAACGCAAAGCTAGAAGGCCCAGCTGGACGAAGCTGGTGCATCGTGCCCACAGGATGGACAGTCAGGAAGACCATTCAGAGTCCTTGCATAATCCCTCACCAAGTTTTCCTCAGATTACCAAGGCGCCGTTTCCTGACAAAACCACTATTCATCAGAGTGATGAGTCACAGTTGCCACCCTCTGGCTCCATATCTAGCTGCTCCTCCCAACTGTCGTCTGCAGTCAAACCTCCAACTCCAAAACAAACTCGCCCCACATTGGATTTAAGCCCTACTGCTTCATTATTCACCACGATCAGTGTTCGGAAAAGGGGCCGACCAAAATCCCATAGCTTTAGCTTAGATGAAACTACTCCTCCTCGGCTTTCACCGAACGATAGCTCAGTCGAGGAGCTTCCTACTGAGCATGAAAGAGTTCAGAAAGCCCCTGTGCTGGAGCCAGTACTGCATTGTACCTCACAGCCGAGCTCAAGCCTCAAGAAGCGCGGCCGTCCTCCCAAACGGGCCCTCCCTGTGGACGACAGTGAAGATGTACTGGATCACGTCGAGAGGAGCAAAGGCTTTCATCCTTTTGAAAAGGCGAGCAGGCAGCTAAAGATCAGGAGACTGATTAACGAGATGAAGAAAAGGAAGAAGAGGAGACTTCACAAAGCAATAATGTCTGGTTATGTGAGGAAGGAGGGAAGGGGAGTAGAGGCAGCTGGTGGTAAAACCTCACTGGGAATGTGTAAATCGTTTGAGACTACAACGGTTCACACGCTCTCAGCCCTGTCCTCCTCATTCGGGAGCAAGCTGGGCCCTCAGATCAATGTGAGCAAGAGAGGGACCATTTACATGGGCAAGAGGCGAGGACGTAAGCCCAAATCCCAAACAGCAAACCGAAATTCCAGCTCCCAGTGCTCCACTCAGCCGTCTCTGTTTACCAGTCACTCTGAAGCATCTCTCTTCTCATCTAACCAGCCTCCACCCTTTCACCCCTTCCCTTCCCCATCTCTTACCCACTCCAGTGGTGCCCAAAGTCCATACAGTGATGGCAGCCTCACGGAACCAACATCCTCTTTCCTTTTTTCTCACCATTTCTCCCTGCCTTCCCCAACCTCTTCCTGTACATCCCCTCGTCCTCCTTCCTCTTCCTCCCTCTCCCCCTTTGTGAAGAAGAGTTGTCCATGTCAAGGGAGGCATCATTTCCCCTTCCACCAGTCTACATGTATGCTTTCCTGTGCCACTCCTCCTCTGCACCTCACCCCTGGCTCTCCCAGCCACCTGAAAGAGGCCACTCCTTCCCCCAGGAGCGAGTCCCACAGTGATGAGACGTTGCCGAGTGACAGTGGAATCGGAACTGATAACAACAGTGTCTCAGAGCGAGGGGAGTTTAGGGGAGCTCGAGGGATACTTCGGTTTGGTCAAGGGTCAGGGGTTACTGTAGGGCGTCAGAGACTTCCTCCTTCCCCAGTCTCATCTCCCAACTCGCACATGTCCAGACATTCAAATGCAATTGGCACCTTAAACTCTGTGGAACGGCACAGACACCGACACAGGCGAAGGGATTATGACGGTCCCTCCTCGTATACGTGCCTGTGCCCTTGTCCCTGTCCAGGACACAACAAGTGCACTCAACCCGACTACGCTCCCTGCCTTGGGCACGGTGCTGTGAAGAGACAAAAAAACAAACACAAGAAGAAACACCAGCAGCTGCTCATGCAGGATCCAGAGTTTTTGGCTGAGCTGGACGATCTGATCACGCAGTTCGGTGACGTCCACATTGGACGGAGAAGCTGGGCAAGGACAGGACTGGGGTCAGGCTTTGACAAAAGCACTTCTGGAGGAAGGCGACATTTTAGCCCGTCCTCCTCTCATTCCCTCCGCTCGAACATCTTCAGGATCAATCTGAACGGCTTCTACTCGCCTCACCCTTCGTCCTTCTCCACTGGCTCCTCCTTCAGCCCTCAGTCTTTCTACCCCTGCCACTGCAGCAGGAAACTGGACCGCAGGCAGTGCAGCTGCCACTCTAAATTTCAAGAAACCATTGACAATATGGGCTTTTACAGCAGCTACCCCACAGCACCACCCACACTCTACCACCACCTTCCCAGCTCCTACCCACTTCCACCACCTCACCAGTATGCCTTGCATCAGCCCCACCATGCCCACATCCTCCTCAACCCGGCCAGATTCCACAGGAGGAGGAGTCGGTTGCTGCGAGAGGGAGCTTTGGGAGCAGAGGTGGAGGGAGGTTTAGGGGCAGGCAGCAAAGGAGGAGGAGGCAGCGGCTCGGCCTACACTTCCAGTCTCTCTTGTGCGTGGGGGAGGAGTGAGCACAAACATAAACATTGTCACAGGCACTTTGAGCAACATGTGGATGATGACGAAGAGGACGATGGAATGGAAAGAGAAGTTTCGGCTGCTTCAAAGTCACAGTCAGGGTTCGTTCAAGCAGATGAGTGCAGGAGAAGTTCAAGAGGTTCAGGGAGCATGCTGTCCAAAGAATCACCATGGTTACGCCAGAACGGAACTGACCTCTTCTCTGCTGCTGCTTCCTCTTCATCATTATCATCTTCAGCAGAGCGATACAAAAGCTCACCTCTCACCTCCCTGGGGCTGGGCTCCTCGCACCTGTCTTCATTCGGAGGAGGCTGGGGCGGCTTGGGTCAAAGCTGGGCAAAATTTAGGAACCTAGGAGGCCCGGGGTTCGGAAAGCCCAGCTGGACGGGCTTCACTGGGGAGCGGCCCACGGGCAGGCTGAGCGCATCGGACAGAGAGGACGAAGACGAAGGAGATGTCAACGAGCCGCACCTGTACAGGACTTCCCTGTCCCCGACACACACCAACCTGTTCACTTCTGCTGCCATGGCAACAGCGGCGAGGGGTCTGAGGAGCGGATCGTCCTTCAGGAATACAGGAAGTGGAGAGAGGTCGTGGAGGCGGGACGAGCCAGCGTGGACAGAGAGGAGGGAAGCAGGTGAGGATGCATGAACGTGTGACTGTTGGGAGTAGATTGCTGCAACTCTTTATGGCTGGAAACTGTTTTGGAGATAACTTTTAGCTACTACCTCAACAAACTTTAGCTCAGTATCTGTACATCTGACTGAGGTCAGCCGTTTTTGTGTTGGCTAATGTCCATTAGCTTAGCTTGGTGTCCGTTAGCGGTCATCTTGAATTGTATTGAAGTTAATCAGCTGCAGATGCAGTTGTACATCCTCCAATAACTTTCTGAAATCTTCACTAACATCCAATTAGTGGCCCATGAGATATTTTGCTAACAGATAAACAAGGTTTGACACCTACAGTCGGTGGTATATGAGTAGCTCTTGAAGTAAGCTGTGTGATTGTGTCTCGTCTACAACCACATCAAATTTTAGCGCAATTTATAGCCATTTTTGTGATTTTTAGGGTGGCAGCCACTTTGAATTGGGTTGGCACCAAAAGTTAATCATTTAACCAGTCCATTGCTAAAACCTTGTGTTAGGAATCCGTTTCAGCTACTTACACACCTGATGTCAGGCGAATATCTATAAAATTCACCGAGTTATGACCATCTTTGTGTTTTTTTAAGGTCAGTTGACTATGGCAGCCATCTTGAATTGTATCAACTCTAAGCATTAATCAGCTGTAAAGGCACATCTGATGATTACTTTCTTTAAGTTTTGTGAAAATTTGTTCTATGGTTCATGAGATATTTTGCCAACAGACAGACAAGCGAACACTTGAAAAGAAGCTCTACGGAAAGTGCTGCTTTTTGAGCCGTGTGCATCCACAGCTGTCTTTGGTTATTGCCTCACAGGCAGAAAATGTGAGCGCATTTTGAATACTGACAGTAATCTCAATGAGACTGACTCGAGCGCCGTTGAAATATGACAATAGAAACCAAATGAGAGCTAGCTGAGAAAATAGGTTTATGCAGAGAGCCTCCTTTTCACTTGCACAGTGTGACAGATTTTTATATTTGCACACTGTGGTGATGAAACTCTGGTACCAGCAGTCAGCCCGATATAGCGACAGCGCTGCTTTTTCTCAGGTGTTGAGCCACACATCGAAGCCTGGAGGGTGTAAGAAAAGAAATCAGGCTTTTTTCTTTTTATAGACACTTTCAGGCTCACTTTTTCTGCTCGAGATGAACACCTAGCACCTGCACAGCTCATTTGTAGGATTATTTTTAAAGAAAAGGTCACATTTGAAGGCAATATCTTGAGCGTGAATCTGCCAGAGAATCTTTGAAATCATTCCGGTTTGCAGCGATCCTCATGCCGCTGCATGCAGTGGCTGCTCAGGCGAGCGCAGTCGTAAGTTAGCCGCCACATCAGCTATTTAAAGCTTGGCCTATTCCTCACTGCTGGCCAGCAGGGACCTGTTTGACTGGGAAAAATCCAATAAGGAAAGAGCGGTCAGTCTTGTCAGGGAGGAAAATGGAGCAACAAGATGGATGACCTCAGGAGAGATTGATGCAGGAGAAGCGGAGGTCAAAAGCAGGGCAGTCAAAAAAAAAAGCTTGTGAGGGGAAATGTTTTTTTATTAGAGGTGAAATACATTTGTTCATGATGTGAGAAAGTGAAAGGGAAGAACGTTCAGTGGGTTTTTATTTTTCCTTTTGTTCTAAACCGTGTTCCGCTTTGACTGAACGTGCAAAAACAAACAGTGTGCAGGAGTGTGTGTGTGTGTGTGTGTGTGTGTGTGTATGCTGCTCATAGATCATTTTAATGCTTTTCCCAGAAGTGATCCGGTCAGAGGAAATGTTGTGACTCACCTAATCTGTGGTCCGTCCACATGACTCTGCCCAGACTGACCTCACCTCACACCTCCTGCCAGCTCAATCACTGATCCACATCTGTCTTATTTCCTTTCCCCCCACTCACCCCCCACTCACCCCCCCACCCCCCCACCATCCTGCTTCTCTGTTTTTTCCCCACTCGACTGCAGGTTTACAAGGTGACTCGAGGAGCCGGGGGCAGCAGCGAAGTGTGCCAGCTCCTGCGAAAAGCAAACGAGGGCCCGGACGGCCCAGGAAGCACCCGCTGCCTCCCGCCTCCGCCGCCGCATCCTCCCCCACGTTTTCATCTGCAGCTCCGTTTGCGTCGCCGCCTGACCTGTTGCCAGCAAGCAGAGACGGGAGAGAAGCGGGAGGGAGAACGGAGGGCACCGTGCCAGAGAGAGGAGGAGGAGGAGGCAGTGCTGCACAGCAGGTTACAGAGCTGGAGGCCAGGAGGAAGAGAGGTCGCAAAAGAAAACACGGCGCCTCTCCTGGCCACGAGAGGTGAACGCCGCAGCTCGTCGACCTGCATGTTCAATACAACCGCCCACTTCTGTCGTATTAACACGCCGTTTTCAGCACTGTGTGCTAAACCAGTGCCCTCTCTGTCTGTCTCTTTTTCCTCTCTATCATTCTGCCTCTCTCTATGCTCCCTGTTTAGTTTTGACAACGATCAGTCGGAGAGCGACACACTCCCTGAACTCCTCAACCAGTCGGACGTCGACCAGGCGCCGTCCCAACCAGCGATTGTCCGAAGGGAGGACAGGTCGGATGGACCTCCCAGGAAGACGTTTCTGAGAGCGGGGCTTTACTCGGACGATTACAAAACTGCAGAGTAAGTTTCTTCAACAACGCATTGTCACGTTTTTCATGACGTTTTAAAATGTATTTATCTCGTCTGTCTCAGTCCCCCCTCCGAAGTCCAGAACGGCAGTGATAATCTGGAGTACACACCGGGGAAGCACGAGTTCAGCCTTTTACCTGCTCCCATACACGTTGGTGAGGAATATCCGAGTTCTGCTTTAGGTTTATTACCACCAAGATGTCTGAACCTGGTTCAAGATGGCCACCACAGCTAATCCAACATTAGCCAAAAGAAAATATATGTCAGTCAATTGTACAGATATTGAGGTAAAAATTGGCGTTGTAGTCACCCTTCACATACTCCGAGCACTAAAAGATTATCTTACATCTTTGTTTTAAACTTGGGCGGGTTGTGCGTATTCTTTTGAGAAATGCTGCTTTCATCAAACCGATTCAAACATCCTAAATCTTCTCCAGGAAAGTACTTGAGACTGAAGCGAATTCACTTCCAGTTGCCGTACGATGTGATGTGGCTGTGGCAGCACGACCAGGTACAGTTGTGCTTCTGTGTCGCAGACTGACAAAGCGAGAACACATTTGGTTTAGTTGTATATTGAAGAGTGTGTATTTTCATTTGACTTTCAATGTCATTCTGATTTGGTCACAGCTTTACCGTCAGCCTGCTGTCCCCCTGAAGAGGAAGCGGCGTTACTGTGAGTTTATTCAGCATTAGATATGTTTTTGTTCCGTTTAGCTGATATAAGATCAGTATTTTATTGTGTATCCTATTCACTCAGGCCGCCTGAAGCAGAGAATTGCGTCTTTTCTGCCTACAGTGGTGAGTGTTATTTTTTGGAACGTTTATTTTATCAGAAAATGTGAATAAATGTGCCAGATTTAGCCCTACATGATCGTAGTTGTCAGATTGTTGTGGCTGTATATGGTTCTTCCACATGCTACGGAAGTTCCTGTTTGTCAAATGAACATTTTGATAAATTGATCATTCAGTCCAATAAACACCAACTAAGAGTCAATAACAGAATAAGCTGATTGACATTGGCAGAGAAGATTTATCAAGCTTATTATAGGTCAACCCATATATTCATTTTCCTAACAAATGTGGCACCATTTAAATGGAAATAGGCTTTACAAAAGCACTTTTATTTTATTTATTTTCATTTATAGCCTAAATGTATTGTTACAGCAAAGACATAATTGACCAAACACAAATGTCTTTACTTTAGGTGTTATGTTTATAAATTATAAAAAAAAAATTGTACAAGCATAGAGCCTTGGGGGACAACTTCAGGCAAGGTTGTGGGAAATCTGGGGTGTGGAGAGAGCTGCAGCATATCTTGGTGGATGCAAGAGGATATTCATGTCCAATTATATATTTAAAATATAATAATACATTTTAATAAAAACTAATTTTATGAGACTTGTGACCTGTCAAGACAGTGGATCCCAACACTGGTCCTTGAGGAACACCATCCTGCATGTTTTAGTCGTTTCCCTGCTCCACCACACCTGATTTAGTGGTTTAATTACTTCCTCATGTTCTGCAGAAATCACCCATTTATTAAAATCAGGTGTGTTGGAGCAGAGAAGCAACTAAAACATGCAGGATGGTGTTCCTCAAGGACCAGTGTTGGGAACCCCTGGTCTAGGATTTACCCTGCAACTGGAGATAGGCGTCTCCCCACGACCTGGATAGGAAAATTGGTAAAGAAAATGGATGGATAATTTTATTTGTATGCTTATCCATCCATCATCTTTACCCACTTCTTCCTTTTTGGGTTGTGGGGGTCACTGGTGCCCATATCCAGCAGTCACTGTGCGAGAGGCAGGGGACACACCGGACTGGTCTCCAGTCCATCACAGGGACACATAGAGACAAACGAGACAAACAACCATTCACTCTCACTCACACCTAGGGACAATTTAGAGTTACCAGTCAGACTAACAGAGAGGCCCTCCCAGCCGGGATTCGATCTGGTGACCTTCTTGCTGAGAGGCAGCAGCTTTACCAACTGCGCCGCCGTGCCGCCCTGCATATGTTTAGATTCCAAGAATATTTTGCTATTGGGATTGGTAAATCTGGTGTTTTAGATCTTTGACCCACAAAAATGGGCAGATTACCTTATCAAATGGTTTGAAGTTGTTTTATAGTGGTTTGAAAAAATTCATCACTACATTTTGTTTCTTTTCCCAGGAGAGCTCCAGGGACCTCACCAGTTTGTTCCCTCATCTTGATGTCGAGCCTCTGAACAGCAGCGAGCGGTATGGCAACGATTCACGACACAAACCGCCGGGCGCACGTTTCTTAAACCAATGTCTGAGCTGACGTTCTCCTGTGTGTGCCGGCGTCAGGAGCTTTGTGGTGAAGCACCGCGTGTTCCTCATCAGGAATTTGGAGCTGGTGAGAGACCGACAGATCCAGATGAGGATGGAAAGAGAAATGGATGAAGAGGAGGAGGAGGCGGGAGAGGAAAGAGAAGATGGAACCAGTGGGGACGACCGCCACTTCAAGTCAGGTCCATGAAGCAAGTGTGTGTGTTAGTTTTTGTTTCTGTAGGTGTTTGTGTATGCAAACGTGGCAGATTTCTCCATCTTTTCATTTATCTCCGTTCATCGTTTTTTTCTTTGAGGTCCTGCTTTGTGTCTTTTTCCGTTTAGCTTGCATGTGTGCTGTGCGCTCATTCAACCCCATGTTTGGCCCGTCTTCCCATCTTTCCATACCATACTCAGCAGCACAAAACAGTGGTTTTCCAACCACAGAATGCAGCCTGCAGAAAAGTTTCCCTATTTCTGTCATCCAACGCTGCTGTCCAAGAACCCAGCAGGCACCGACGTCCTCCATTAGCAGTGAAACCGCACTTTTGTTCTGCAGATAGGGGAAATGAGAACGTATAATTAGGCCTGTCGCGATAAACAATAAATCAATTAATCGCATGATAAAAATGATCAACCTCATTTTCATTTATCGGCTTTATCGTTTCTACATGTTTCTCTCTTTCTACTGAAGACACTTGATGACAACGGTGCTCTTCACTGACCCCTCCCGTTCTATTTTTTCTTTAAAATCTGTTTTAACTATCCAAAATTGCATTTTTTGGACCGTTAAAACTAAAAGCAGCTAAGCTGAGAAGCTAAGCTACGAGCTACGCTAACAGGCCGACCTCAGGGTAAAAACCTCCGTCTTGTCGAAGCTCCAAAATTCACAGTTGAAACTCGTGCCTTCGTGTAAAAAGTTGTTTTTCTCTGCAAAAAGAAGCTGAGAGCTTGTTTACTGATTTTTTTTATTAAAAGCTTTGTGTGACAAATGCTATGCTAAAGAGCTCAAAGAACACAGAGCGTCCGCCATTTTGAAAACCAAAAAAAAGGAAGGCGAGACAACCCATGTCACATCAAGGGGCCTCCCTCCCATTTTTCTTAAAGAGACACGCTGCTCGCTCTCTCACTATCCATCCTTCAGTTCAAACAGTCTTATACTGCCATCCATTGTTCAAAAAAAGTACTACACACAAAACAAATTAAACATTTCTTCTTAAATTTGACAATAATTACTAATCATTGTCAAATTTCAAACAATATTATCGTTTATCGCAATATTTTCTGAGACAATTAATTGCCCAGCAAAATTTGTTATCGTGACAGGCCTACGTGTAACTAAACAGATCTGCAAGACACCAACTCCCTGCCTGTGCTAAAATCCACAATCCCATTTGACCCTCAGATCACTCAGTGGGGGTGGAGGTGACGATTATCAGCAGTGACCCCCACCACCAAAGTCAGGACACCTCCGGTGCACGCACTGCCAGCCCCAGTGTGAGTTCACGAGCCTCGCTCGCACCGCCCACATTAAACAAAGCATATAATGTTTTAAAAATGCAAGGATGAATTTCTGCTTTTGCGATTAGTTGTGCATGCTTGTTCACTCCAGCCCACCAAAACCCAGAACAGACAGGAGGAGGAAGAAGAAGAGGAGGAGGAGGAGGAGGGGGAGGAAATGAACAGAGAGCTCTGCAGCAGAGAACAGAGGAGGAAACGGCTGAATGATTTACTCCTGCAGAGGGAGAGGTAAGCGGAGCGTCCGAAACGGGAGCTCCAGCATCGCGTGTGCGTGCGTGCAACATTTCGCTGACAGCATCTTGTCCTTGCGTAAGGTGGAGCCACTCTGCAAAAGGAACCGGGCCTGCCGGTGGACAGATGGACAGCAACTGACACCATCACTGACATCAACAGGAGGAGAAGGGAGGGAGGGGGACGAAAAGGCAATGATTTAAAAAAGGACCTGCAGCTCTCGCGCACCCAACGTGTAGAACTTTGCGCTCGTGAAGGGCACGGCACCAAGGAGGAAACCATGGCAACCCGTCCTTTGTCCGAGCTGTCCTGGATGAAGAGAGCAGCTGACATGAATTTGCACTAGTGCTGAATGAACAGCACACGAAAATAACGACTGTCTGTATGTACGCTGAGTGGACACACTATAAACACGCTCACTATGGCACCTTAAGCTGGACAAGACGTATATTTCCCATGGGGGTGTGGGGGGGGTGTTCAACTGAACATATACGCTGCACTCAGCATTTTAGCTCTGTAGTTTCCAAGAAACAAGGAGCTCCTAATCCACCGTATGGGTTGTGGGGGGGTTTCAAATGTAGCCCGGGCCCTAAGTAGGGCAAAAAACCGAACCCTCGTTTTACTTGTTAAGCTTTCAAAGTCACGCTGCACCTTTGGGAAACGGCACGAGGAGCGAGAGGAAGGAGCCGCTTTAAGAAGCTGTTTCAAACAGAGCGGGGGGGGGGGGGGGGAACGACCGCAGCTGACATGTCCCGGTTAATAGAAGGGGAGGAGGGGGAAGCAATAGGAATTTTGGCATCGCTGCAAGAGAATTTCTAATGAGGTTTTAAGAAAGAGTTGTGTTTTTTTTTTTTTTTTTGAAGAGAGGAAAACAAAAACTGGAGTCCCGTCTCCGCTTTAGAAACGGACAGAATATATTCAGAGGAATGTCTGTCAACTATTTCCAGTGGGGCTTCCAAGAAACGAGGTGGATTGTGGGGTGGGGGGTCGTTTACTTCAGATCGCCTTTGAGAATGTTTCACTCTTTGCTTCGGAGCATCGACAATCAGAATGTCCTCGGGGGGTTGTGTTGGGGGGGGGGGGGAGCTCGGATTGATTTACCCCCCCACCATAAAAAGAACGCTCTGTATCCAAGTGCCATGTCGTCTTGTGTGCAAACCTGAAGCTGAGCTCATCCAGTCTTTTAAAGCAATATCTCCTTTAAACAGAACTATATTCATACGTTGATGTTTTTTTTTTATTAATTTGTGAATATTTGACCTGTTTTTGTTCCGTACAAACGCAGAAGAGGTCGTTCTCCCATGAGGAGCGTCGGGTTAACCCACTTGAGCGTTCAGTTTCATGTGAATGTACAGAACACGTTAGCAGTAGCGTGTAACTTTAGTATTAGCGCTTTCTGGGTTATACAAAAACTTTACAGCTAATCAGATCTTTCTTTCTGCCGAGATGTTTTTAACAAAGTGCTGACCAACGTGTGACATTACGACTGACATGGTTGTTCATGTTTCTTTGTAGAGCCACGTATTCAGTCTCCGCTTTTGGTCAGACAATCCGTAACAGTGAAACGGTCTTTGCCAGTGTTAAACTTCTCTCTTTCAGTAGTGCGGCTTCTTATAACGAGCCAAGGAAGTGCAATTTCTTTGACTGTTTACATACTTGTATGTATATTTTTCCCGCCTCTTTCGCTCTCTTTTTTTTTTACTAAAAGGCATTACGTTAATGCCAGCGGATGATTAACTTTATAGCAAAGGTACAGAGTTATTTATCTAGTTTGCATGATGTGTAACCTTTGCCTGTTGCCTCTGATGGTGTGCATCTGATAAACAAGACAACAAAAAAATCATTACAATAGCGTAGAATGTAAGCTCAGACATTTTGCCTCTATATCCGTAATAATAAAAGCATTTTATGGCTCCTATGACCTACAAGCTCGTCATCTGTCTGAATGCTGTGCTGGGTCTGTGGAGAGCCACAGGGATGTTCATTTGTGTGAGTTAACAGTGCTACCTAGTGGTGTTAGATTGTGCATCTCGTGCTGTGATGTCCTCTTAACGACCCAGAATGGAGGACAGAACTGTCAGAGGAGCATAAATTCAAAATGGGGGAAGGCCACAGCTCTCTGGAGGTATGGTTCATTGTCGGCATCCTGGGACCGTTTGATCCAAGCAAAGATGCAAGAATAATCTGATTCTTCGAGATTATATATATATAAAAAAATAATTAAAAAAAGTTTGTTTTTGAGCTTTAGCTGAATCTTTAGCTGAATCTAGCTGTTTTTTGTTTTGTTACCTTTTTCCTTTTAGCCATCCTATTTGTTTAAAAAAAAAAAAAAACTAGTATGAGTTTTTATAACTGCTTATTGTTGTTGCTGTTGTCCATTGTTGTCATCTTTCTTTGTTGAAATCAGGTCTCTCTTGTAAATGAGTCCTCGAGGCTCAATGGGATTTACCTGTATAAATAAAGGTTGATTTATGTGGGATTAGGTTGTTAGATTTACGGAGTGCATGTGCAGTTGGTCATGTGACAGCCAAAGGACCTCCAAAACAAAGAACACACAAACCTGTCAATCAAAATGACTGATCTTATGAAAGAAAGCATCGTATGCATATTTTTATTTTGGTGCTTGCAGAAATTCTTTTTGGGGAAGCTGCAAGAAAAAGACTAGAAAAGTCATGAAATGCCTCAAAAGGTAAAAACATTTTCTTAAAAAATACAAGAAGCATCAGAAGAAAATAGATATGTGCATGGGGTGGGGGGGGGGGGTCTTCATACAAACCGGATTCCATAAAAGTTGGGACACTAAACAAATTTTGAATAAAAACTGAATGCAATGATGTAGAGATGGCAAATGTCAATATTTTATTCGTAATATAACATAGATGACAGATCAAAAGTTTAATCTGAGTAAATGTAAAATTTTAAAGGAAAAATACGTTGATTCAAAATTTCACAGTGTCAACAAATCCCAAAAAAGTTGGGACGAGTAGCAATAAGTGGCTGGAAAAAGGAAATTGAGCATATAACAAACAGCTGGAAGACCAATTAACACTAATTAGGTCAATTGACAACATGATTGGGTATAAAAAGAACTTCTCAGAGTGTCAGTGTCTCTCAGAAGCCAAGATGGTAAGAGGATCACCAATTCCACCATTGTTGCGCAGAAAGATAGTGCAGCAATACCAGAATGGTGTTACCCAGCGTAAAATAGCAAAGACTTTTAAGTTATCATCATCAACCGTGCATAACATCATCAAAAGATTCAGAGAATCTGGAACAATCGCTGTGCGTAAGGGTCAAGGCCGTAAAACTCTACTGGATGCTCGTGATCTCCGGGCCCTTAAACGTCACTGCACCTCAAACAGGAATGCCACTGTCAAGGAAATAACAGAATGGGCTCAGGAATACTTCCAGAAAGCATTGTCAGTGAACACAATCCACCGTGCCATCCGCCGTTGCCAG